CGCAGGGGGGTGGGACGCTCTCGGGTTGGTTTTGGCTTCCCCCCCCCCCTTTTTTTCTCCCCCCCTTCTAAACCACCGGGTGAGTTTTGGGCTGGGGGGGGTGGGGTGGTGGGGACACTCAGGACTCCCCTCGTGCTGCTCTCCCCATGCCGTGCCTCAGTTTCCCCCACTGGGGCAACACTTTCCCAACCGCCCAGTTCGGTGTCCTGCTTCGTCCCAGCCCCTCCGTAACACAACCGCGGGGGCTTGCAGGGCGTCCACGGGGCTTTTCCCCCTCCACGGTGGCCTGGTCCTAAGCCTGCGTCCACCAGCGACGTCCCCAGAGCTGGTAAACGGGGTCGGGAGCCTCCGCGGGGCAGGGGGCGAGGGCAGGGTCTTTGCTGCAGCCCCTCCGACGGCTGCCAGCCCTCACCCACGGCCCCATCGTGCTCGGCCCGTCCTGGGGGGCCTGATCCCACTTAGACACCCCCGCTGCGGCTCTCCGGAGGAGTCAAGCGGGGAGCAGGCTTCGCTGAGCGCGCCCCTGGAAAAAGCCACCGACGGGAGGCGAGAGCCAAGCCGGGGGGCAGCCGTCCCGGCTCCTGCGGCCCCATCCCCGTCACCCAGCGGGCTCCGTCCCGTCTCCGCAGGACATGGGCTGTGGCCCGGAGCCCCGCCGCCTCTAGCCCTGAGCGCCTCGGCCCCACCATGCTGACGATAAAGCTGCCGCAGATCTTCAGGGTCCATCAGGTGCCTCGGGTAGGTGTGGCTGGGCGACGGTGGGGCTCTGCCCCCAGCTTTCTCCCCCCCCAATTCCCTCATCCAAGGTGGAAAAATCACCTGGGCTCCCCACCCAGCCGTGAGACGCTCCCAGCCCATCCTGCCTCAGTTTCCCCAGAGGCCAGAGCAGCTCGCTGGGGCTGCCCCGCTCCCCCCGCTCTGTCCCTGTCCCCTGCCCAGCCCCGCTGTCCCCACAGATCTTCTGGGAGGATGGGATCATGTCGGGGTACCGGCACCCCAAGAGCTCAGCCCTTGACTGCGTCCTCAGCTCCTTCCAGATGACTAACGAGACAGTCAACATCTGGACACACTTCCTCCCGACCTGGTGGGGCTGGGGACGGGAACAGGAATGGGGATATGGGATAGAGAGAGGGATGGGGATGGGGACAAGGCTGGGAATGACGAAAGGATGGAGATTGGAATGGGGGCAGAGGTGTGGAACGGGGACAGGGATGGGGAAAAGCTTGGGGATGAGGACGGGATGGGGATGGGGATGAGGGGACGGGAACAGGAATGGGGATATGGGATAGAGAGAGGGATGGGGATGGGGACAAGGCTGGGAATGACGAAAGGATGGAGATTGGAATGGGGGCAGAGGTGTGGAATGGGGACAGGGATGGGGAAAAGCTTGGGGATGAGGACGGGATGGGGATGGGGATGAAAGGATGGAGATGGGGCTGGGGACAAGGATGGGGCCGGGGACAGGGATGGGGCTCACCCCAGTACATGCTGTGCCCCCAGGTATTTCGTGTGGCGCTTCCTGGTGCTCTCATCCTCCCTGGACCTTTGCCGGGAGCCCTACCACTGGCCCCTGCTCATCTACCTGCTGCTCGTCTGCCTCTACCCCTTCGCCTCCAGCTGCGCCCACACCTTCAGCTCCATGTCGGCGCGCGCCCGCCATATCTGCTACTTCTGCGACTACGGAGCCCTCAGCCTCTACAGCCTGGGTGAGCCGCTGCAGAGAGGGACCGGCCCAGGGCTGGGGCTGGAGCCGGGGCCGGGGAGCCGCTGGCCCCACGATGCTGCACTTCTCTTGCAGGCTGTGCGTTTGCCTATGGTGCCTACGCGATGCCAGACCACTGGGTCAGCGGCGTTTGGCACAATTACTTCGTCCCCGCGGCTGCTTTTAACTCCTTTGTCTGCACCGGCCTCTCCTGCTACTCCCGGTGGGTTCTGGGTAAAGGCGCCAGCGCTGCAGCTGGATGGAAACTGGGGCTGGAGGTTTCCTCCTCCTCCTCCTCCTCCTCCTCAGCTTTGGGGTCCTGCAGTGTCTCTGGGGGGTTCCCCTGCTCGGGCAGTGGGTCTGACCCAAAGCCAAGGTGCTTGCAGGGTCCTCGCTGTGGGGGGCTGACAGGGGTCCGCGCCTGCTCCGTTCCCCCTTCCCAGCTTCCCTGAGCTGGAGCGTCCCCGGCTGAGCAAGGTGCTGCGGACGGCGGCTTT